CAGGGAGTTTGCTGTGGAGGAAGATGGCCTGTTTCCAGTGATTCTTACAGTAAAAGCACAGACTTTGTATGAGTCAGGAAATGGTAGAAAATACCACATCCAAAAAAAAGAGTGTTTTTTAGTTCGTTAGTGTACTTGGCCGAGAAGCAGAGAATGTAATTCATAAATAGCCACCTAAGGAAGTAGCTTTTCTCTTGGGCCAACAAACCCCACAGAATCTACACAGTTGCAGTTCTGAAGCATTTAGACAAAACCTCTATAATCTTTATAGCAAAAAAGAGGATAAAAATTAAAATTTTTTTTTTCCTATCCATACGGTATGCTTCAAACTTGTGTGCCTTATTGCAAAATAATTTGGCTTTAGACTCATTTCAGCCCTCAAACTAGCAAGGTCAGAGGCAGAAAATATTTAGCCTCCAGAGGCAAGGGGAGTGTCCTGTCTGACACAAGTGTGCTTTAACAAGTCTGCTTAAGTTCTGATACTTTCTTTTTAAAATCATGCTTGTTATTTCTGCCTTTGATTTTAGTGCAAACAGATTGTGCCCTGCTTGTGGGCAGGCACGCAGTAACACAAGGGTCTTTGCCACTCTACTGTTGTAATCCTTGCCTTCAGAGGGACGTGGGCAGTATTAGGTGATAAAACTGCTGCAAGACAGGTCCCTCTGCTCTTGTGCCCTCTCTGCTTGTCCTCATCGAAGCACGTGGTGGGAAAAGGAAAGAGCCAGACATGAGAAACGGTTGTGCATCACAACTTTTCTGGGGAAGCACAGAGCCTGTAAGAAGATAAAGACACTGCGTGTTGCCTCGGTTCAGTCTGTAGTCAGGAGATCATATGACAATAGCCTCTTATCTAAAGTGAGTGGATGTCTGAACTGGGGAGAAGAAAGAAAGAAAGGGTTCCTCATCTGCAAATATGTCAAAGGCGATAGTGGTCAACAGTGGTGAATTGTTTGTGATTATGCAAGAGCAAATAGGTCTCTAATAGTAGGTACAATGTGTTTATGTGAATGAGAAAACATGACTGTTAACTTACTTTGTTGTACAGAAGTGATCATGGTAACCTGGCTGTAAGTCTGAAAGTATTTTATTCCTAGTGATCACCTTGTGATTTTACTTCTCCAACATGTTTGTGTTTTGTTTGTCAGGTACTGGGATAAAGAGGTGCAAAAAGCAAAAAAGAGAGGAAAAACGCCACATTTAACAAAAGCCATTATTCTTTGTTACTGGAAATCCTATTTAGTATTTGGAATTTTCACAGTGATTGAGGTAAGTGGTGTAAAATGTCATACAACACACTTCTTAGCTAACAGCAGTGTGAAACTCGGCCTCTTAAATTGCATGATGCATACTGGTGACTTCATGCTGGGCTGTTCAGAGAATCTGTAATGTTTGTGTACTCTGTCAGAAAAGTGAAACAGAGCTACAGCCCCGTACAGACTGAAAAATTGAATCACAACTGCAGGATTATGGATGTAGAACAGAAAGCTACTTTTAGTGCAATATTTTTGAGACATTACAAGCCATTGACTTTGTAAAGCCATTGACTTGCTTTGTGAGACTTTGCTGTATTTTATGTATCGAAGTGGGGTCCCTCACAGAAAAAGGGTTTTTTGCTGTATGTAAGTGGCTGTACAGGAGACAATGTCATCTTTAAAAATGGAAATGTAATAAATATTCCTGCAGTTCTTATAAAGTCAAAGTTTTCATTTGTAATTGAGAGAGTTATTTTTAAAGATTCAGCTACATTTTAATGTGGAACATATTTCTTTGGGATTATGTGTCGATAAAAATTGGCTTGACATTTTAGAGTGCAAGAAACTACCTAAAGGGGGCCTGTAAGAAAGATGAGGACAGACTTTTTAGCAGGGCCTGTTGCAACAGGACAAGGAGCAATGGTTTTGAACTAGAAGAGGGTAGATTGAGACTGGATAGAAGGAAGAAATTTTTTATAATGAGGGTGGTAAAACACTGAAACAGGTTGCCCAGAGAGGTGGTAGATGCCCCATCCCTGGAAACATTCAAGGTCAGGCTGGACGGGGCTCTGAGCAACCTGGTCTGGTTGAAGATGTCCCTGCTCACTGCAGGGGGTTGGGCTAGATGACTTCTAAAGGTCCCTTCCAACCCAAACTATACTATGATTCTATGAAAGACAAAATAATAGGAGATGAGACTTGTGGCAGTACTTGACTCTTGGTTACTGGGTTACAAACTTGGGTAGCATGGTACGGTATGAAATTGTTAATTCTTCTTTCCCTTTTTTTTTTTTTCCCAGGAAACCCTCAAAATAATTCAGCCAATATTTTTGGGAAAAATTATTAGTTATTTTGAAAACTATGATTCCTCAAATGAGGAAGCTTTGAATTTTGCATATTGCTACGCAGCTGCTCTGTCTGTGTGCACGCTTATTCTAGCTATAATGCACCACTTATACTTCTATCATGTACAGCGGGCTGGCATGAAGCTGAGGGTAGCTATGTGCCATATGATTTATCGGAAGGTAAGCAAACCTGTTTACAGGTATACTTGGCATTTGACAGCTGTTACATCAGAGGAGTTTAAAAATAGTTATTTCTTCATGCTTGCAATTCCATTGAAGTTACTCATTTGTTGAAATGTAATACATGCTAATATGTATCAGACCTTAAATGTATATATGGGCTTTTGCTCTCTGCTTGGTAATGTGGTGTCTGAATGACAGCTTCAGTTCTCCTAGTGAAGGTGGTGAATTATATAGCCCTAAAGCCTAGGAGGAGCTGCTAATTTTCACCTGCCCATGCTGTCCGAGAGGAGCCTCCCCCTTGCTGCTGGAAGGGTTGTGTGCTGGAGCGGTGAGAGGCTGCCAGCGTACAGCAGGAGAGGGGCAGAGCTCCCAGGGGATGCTTGCAGTTACTCAGCCCTGCAGCCTCATCCCCAGGGAGGAGGTTATGCTGGGCTGTCGCCATCTGCTTCAGCACTCGCAGTTGCCTGGGAATTGCTTCACTGTCTGATTGCGTCACCGGCCCTGTTGTGGTTAATGGTGGGATTTATTCATATTTTCCTGCAGCAGTGCTGTGGAGTTAGTGAGTTGCCTCCTTTGCAGGTTGGAGAGGCTGCCCCCCTCTCTCGGGGCATCCGTCAGGTTAGTTGAGGGGTAGGCAGCAGTACTGCGGTACTCCAGGCCAGCAGGGTGCTCGGTGTCCTCACAGGCAGGTCTCTTTGGTATCCCTCGTACCTGGGGGGAAGAGAGAGAGGAGTGGGCAGAGGAGAGATGAGTCAGAATCAAACTGAATCCTAAAAGTAAGGTAGAGCCATATTTTAGTATCAATTACTGGTTTTACTGTGGGAGCACTGGAGTACTTTCCTAAAGCCAATGAAGCATGAGAAGGAATGTACGCTCAGTAAGCTGTGGCTTCTTTGCTGTCGGTGTGTCCTGATCAAGAAATAGCTGTCCTCGACTAGAGACAGAGCCGAGGCCGCTGTCAGATGGAAAGTAGAACAAGAGACGTTATGGATATTACCTACAGGAACGAGTTGAGCACCATCCAGGATGAAACGCTGGCCTTGGGATAGCAAGCAACCCAATTGCACATGTCTGCTTCCCTCTTCTGAAGCTGTTGGCAATACCCAAACCATTGAGTCCATCTCTGCTTCCCGTCAGGAAGTCCCTGCTCGGGATGCTGGAAGGAAAATGCTCTATCTTTCTAGCTTTAATACTGCTAGTACAGTGCCCTGCCAGTCCTTACCTCAGCAAATAAATTCTGTTGAAGGATCGGGACTGTAAAGTTTCTTTAGGGTGCGAGGAAATCCATGTTGTTGTAATGATGAAACATAGGTACCATCCACTTAAGGCAAACACTTGTACGACTGATACAGGTCACGTGAAGGTTTCGGGCAAAGCAGTAAAGTGAGGAGAGTAAAAATGGCCCCATTGTAAGTGTCGATTGCTTTTCATGCACGTATTTATTTTCCCTCTTCTGATACCTTGGAAATTATCCTCTGGGAACTCGGTTCTAACATGGCACACTGCTTTCTTGTACACAAACATCTCTCTAAGGTATTAATTTACTAAACTGATTATCATAACAGTTTGAAATTCATGAAATATGTATATAGCGATGTTTGTTGCTGTGTTGATATTAGCTTAGAAGCTTGGAAAATATATGTTCATAAGTGCCCCCTTATTTCTAGATATGTGATTAAATGGAAAATTAATCTTCCTTCATCTCACAAATGTTTACTCCTGAGGGTGAAGCCTGAGGTCAGAACATTGATAAACCTTTCTAATCGTTTGTCTTCATTATCTGAAACTTACAGATAGGTCATACTTTCTCTTTATCCTCGTATAGGCTTTTGAAAGAATCTGGATGCTAATTTACCAGCACTTTTGTGGTGTTCATTAATTGCTGTAGTAAATAAAAACTTGGATTTGCAAGGATGAGTGGGTTGGATGAGAGAGCATCCTTAGTGGAGAACTTCAAATGCTTGTAATTCCTAAGTTTGAGACCCTTTTTCATTTCCTGGAAATTTAAGATCTTATTTGCAAAATCCCTGTATTCCAAGATGTTTTGTGATCAGTAAGAAGTATTAGTGATGCACGCAGGAAGCCTGTAACAAAAATGAAAATGGAATCTGTCTCATGACTCACAATCTCATGTTTTAAAACCAGAGGCTACTTGTGGGAGGCTGATTATGTTTTTTTTTTTTTTCCCCCCCAAGACTTAACTTTTAGAAGTTCTTTGAGGTTCAGAATAAACACCAAAGCAGTTTAAGCTGTGGAGTAGTTGGTTGAGACAGAAAGCAGCCAAGGAGGTGTCAAGTTATTTGACTGGACAGTTATATTATGGCTTTCTATGGTCAGTTCTCCCTTTTTCATGTGCTTTTAAATTAACTGTTTGGGGCAGGGAGAGATTAAAACACTAAGGCAGGAGTGCAGAAGGCAAAGAGTGGTTGAAGACTTGAGATTGGGTCTGTGCAGTTGCATCTGGTGGGGGGAAAACGTGTTTTGCCTAAGACATTAAGTGTACAAACTGCCCTCATTAGTTCATATAATTAAAACCTGTTTTCCTTGAGAAAGGATGCTTGCTGGGAAATGCATTTGTGCAGAAGATTTATAGAAAGAAAATCAAGCACATCTTTGTGCTGAAAACAGGTGATTGGCAAATGTGAAATAAAATGTAAATTCAAACTACAGTTGCTTTTTAAAATGGTGTGTGGCTCTAGGTAATCTTCAATAGAATTTCTTACCTTCAGGGTGAATTTATAAATGTTATGGTCAATGCAGTATTCAAAGCCGCTGCGATGGAGTTAGTTTTCTTCACAGCAACTCATATAGTGCTGTGTTTCGGGTGCAATAGAAAGGGAAAGTACCAAAACAGGACTTTTTGGTAGAAATTGGTTCTATAAATAAAACTGCTGCTTTGTGTCCAGTGTTTCCATTTCCTTCTGTATACTTTGCAGTCTAGACAAGTCCATTCAGCCAGGAAAACATAAGGCTTATTGAACCCCTTCCATTATTTCACGTTAAAAAAAAAAAAAAACAAAAAAACACCTGTGCTGCTTCAGAAGTAGTTTTGAAGCAGGGAGGGAGGAAAAGAATGAAATTGCATTGCCACTGACGATGGGAATGGCTGTCTCTTCCCTGAGAAGACAGATCCGTCACAGATGAGTCCCCCGCCTGTTCACCCTGGATGCTTGCGTGGCTCCTCCTGAGACTGCGTTCGTCAAAACTGAACTGGGCTAGTACATTTTGAAACCATTTTCGCTGCCTGTGCCTGCAATAGCTGGGAAGAGGTCAGAAAGGTGACTCAGGTGGCGGGTCCGAGACAGACCCAGGCCCTGGGCCACAAGGAAGACACCAGTGCAACGTTCTCCCGGGTGGCTCAGGTGGACCTCAAACAGCAGAGAAGTCTGTGTCGTAAAGGAGCAAGTAGCAGTAGGTGCTGTAAACACACCATGGTAGGCAACTTCTTCCAACAGGCATCACTTGAAGTCCTAGTATTGTGGTCTGTGGACATCTAAGAACTGATCGACCTTGATCTGTGTTGTGGAATAAACATGATAGAAACAGGGATGTGCTGTGGCTGCATTACCTGCAGGCAGCTTCTTGGGGATTTCAGATGTATGAGAGAAAATGGCTTAAGATGGGGAATGAAGCAGTGGTTTTCTCAGATAATTAAATCTCGTCTCATATACCCAGTATCTCTGATTTATTTCTGGAATATCAGGGCAATTTCTGAGGGGAGTTTTAAATGTTTCTGCTTGCTGGTTTCAGTGAAGTTAGGGCTAGGATTCTCTCTGTGCTTAACACCTTTGTGATCCACCAGGGAGGTGCAAGAAATGTAAGGCACTTGGTTTGAAATGCTTTGACTAGTACTTTGATGTTCTTGCACCTGATTTTAAACACTGGAACAATATTTTTGAAGCAATTAGTGCTTTTCAGGTTACATTATTGGTCAAAAAGAAATCCTGATAATAACTCTTTGGAGGAGGAGAAGTGGATGTGCACCGCCTAAAACTGCAAAGTGTTTTTGAGGGGTGAACTATGCCTGTCACAGAAAAACGTGTAATGTGTTTTGTATATTTTTTTACTTGTGCTGCAAAACTGTGTTTTCTTTCTAGCAGGTGTAGAAGGAAGCAGGGTCTGTTGTCTGCATCTTTGAGCTATTTCAGTTTGGATCTTTGCAGTAATGTTCAGACTGCATATTTCCAGATGTGATTTTTTTGGACAGTATTTTATAATCACATATGATTTTCTACTGATTAATTTATTTATTAACCTATAAAAATATTTGATATTTACTCTTGTTGCTTTTCATAGCATGTGTTAAACTTCATTTAATATAAATCAGCAATCTTATGATTTTGCAAGAGTTATTAAGGTAAATATTTATTAATTTGTAAAGGGATATTAACTCTGAATTACAAAGCCAGAAAGCAGTTTGCAGTGTTAGCAAGAACTGACAGTGTAAAATTAATAACTTGGCGGTTTTGTCTGCTGTCAGCAATCTCATTCAAAACAGAATTCTTTCAATTGGCCAAACATTGTCCTGATTTTAATTTGGTCTTCAGGTGGAATTGTCTCTTCTAGTTTTGAACAGACGCGCGTAATGTGGGGAAGAGCAAGTTACAGGCTTGTTTGTTTAGTTTTAATAACTTGCTATGTTGGTATTTTCCCATTTTTAATCACTTCAGCCATGAAGATAGTTATGGCTCTTTTGTTCTTACAGTCCTTCCCTAGACTTTCTTTTATACTCTCTTCTTTGGGACTTTCTTCAGGATATTTAACCGAACCCACATGTTATCTAAGGTTTTTGAACTGTGCCCAGATGTTCTTAGGCAAAAGCTGAGAAGTGCCTTCAGCTTTTGCCCAGTATTGTATTTGTGTATTGAGTCTTCTGTGTCTAGATTTATTGTGCTGGATAAGCTGTGACAATTTGAGACTGTTCTGACTCTTTTAGGCACTTCGTCTCAGTAACGTAGCTATGGCAAAAACTACCACTGGTCAAATAGTAAATCTGCTGTCAAATGATGTGAACAAATTTGATCAGGTAAGAAGTATAACAGATCTTTCCAAGGGGCTGAAGAAGTTGTGGGGTTTAAGTTTTTGTTTACAACTGGTGATTAAGTGTTTCTTATGAACGTTTCTTCTACTTGTTTCTCAAAGTTTGTAGTGAGAGAAATACTCTATTAAAATATGGGAGGAAAACATACTGTTTTCCCCCGCCTTAAATATTTTCCGGCCGTTTTCCTAAGCTCAGAGAAACGTTGGTGCATGAAAATAGAACAAAATGAGTATGGTGATTTGCTTACTTTCTGCAGGTTAGGCGCCTTCCTGTACATTTAGGGCTCTGAATCTGGTGCAGAGCTCACACTAGATGCCTCAGTACCTGCCACAGGCAAAGGTGCTTCCTCAACTTTGTGTTATGAGGGTTTAATTTTTTAGCTAAGACCAAAAGCTAATTTTTGTTTCTTCACTGTTTGCCTAGGTAACAATTTTCTTGCACTTCTTGTGGGCTGGACCAATTCAAGCGGTAGCAGTAACAGTACTTCTGTGGATGGAGATAGGCCCATCATGTCTTGCAGGAATGGCAGTTCTGATTATTCTTCTTCCTGTCCAGACCTGCATTGGGAGGCTTTTTTCTTCCCTAAGGTAAGATTGCACGTGTTGGGTTGCAGATATTTTCTGTCCTGGATTTTAAAATGTGCATTCTGGATGGAGATGGAATACTGCCCTGAGATGAGCTTCTGTCTGTTGAGTTTTTTTGTGTGGTGTTTTATCTTTGCCAATGTTTTTCATCATTGCTAATGTGAGATTTGTGAATTGCTGTTTAGGGACTTAAAGGGGTTTGTCTTTCAGATGTGCTGAAAATATCTGCTACTCATTAGCTGTTCAGTATATTAAGAGTTGGGCTAGTTCTGTAGCTACCTTGCTGTAGCTCTTGGCGTAGAATTGTGTAACTCCTTGAGCTTTGCCTTCCTGCATTGATGCTTAGGGAGTGGTTACTATAAAGGCAATACTGGCAGTCCCGCTGTAAGTTTGACTTACTGGGGTGATACAGGAGTTGTAGCAGAAAGCTCTGAAGGCTTTGTGTTCAAAGATGTTGCGCTCTCTCGTCCAACAAATATGCAGAGAGGAAAAAGGGGAAGGAACTGAGAGAGAAATGAAGAAAAAAATTATGATGGTGGTTTTGATGCCAGCTATGAGGTTTCTAAGTGTAAGATTCTAGGCTGTGGAGATATAAAATGAGTTTGCAGTAATTTTCCATTACCAGACAAATTTAATTTGTTTTTCTGTGACTTCTTCCGAAGAACAAGACTTGCCTCAAGTGGGAGTATTACATTACCTTCAGTGTTCTCACTTCCTAACTTTCTTCTTCTTCTGTAATTTAATCATGCTCTACTTGCATCATGATTTTATAAATGGCTTTCGCGTCTAAACGGGAATATTTTTGTGTTGCTTTGCTGTGAACACGTATGCTTAGTAGTATTATGTGTCTTTGCTGCGTTTGTATTTGGGGTGAATGGGTTCATTCTAGCTCTTTGGATAAGTAAAACTTTTTTTAGTGAGTCACTGTTGTTTTCGAGTTGTGTTTTAAGACCAGTTTTCCAGGGGTATTGAGACTGGTATTGCCGTTGCATGGCTAGGTGTGAAGAGAGAGCTGAGAGTTAAAAAATGAGACCAGCTTGTAGACTTCCTTCTGTTTGTAACCAGTGTGAAAGTCTTAGTTATTATGCTTACGTGCTGTTTCTCAAATAATGAGCCATTCAGTGTTCTCTGTCAAATTCTTAGGATAAAACCTGTTTGTAGAACACTTCCAATATATTCTTACATATGCATTTTCACTGCATGTGTAATATGTGTGCATAAGGATCAAGCTGCTTCACTGCTGGGTGTTTTGAGTTTTTGATGTTTGAGTCAATACTTAAAATACTTAGCTCTTAACTAGTGCCTTATGCATGGTGGTAAGCATTATTATCCCCAGGGATAATATCCAGGGTCAGACAGCAAGGTGACAAAAATCTCTTCTCAAAGGTATGTATTTTAAAGGTTAATCAGTGGCAATGTAATGTTGTTTGGGTTTTTCCCCCATTCATTAACAGCCACTTGTTTGGATGCAGTGCAAGGGAAAGAATTTGCTAACCAGAAAAACTTTTGCTTGTCTACACGTGCACAGATCTTTGCGAACGGAAGTGTGCAGTGAACAGCAGGAGTTAATGGAAAAACTGAAATGGATTCCAGTTCTGTAGTGATGAGTGTGTTCACATGGCAATTGCTGGGAATCTGTGTGGATTTAAGGAAATCAGCCTATGAAAAAGCAATTTAAGGATTAAAGCTTTTACTAAAATCCGGGCATGCCCAGTGTTGCAGCTAATGTGTGCTATTATTCAGCACTGTACTTGTGACCCAGTCTTGTAAACACAAATATGCACATCAGTTTATGATGCAGGCATTACCTTCAGTGCTGTAGGAGTTTGTAGAAATGGACTCAGTATCGGGTAGGATGGTATACATTGTATTTTGCAGTGTTGCTTTTACCAGCACAAGTACTAGAAATTTTACAAACTACACATGACCTAATACATTATTTGAGAAATAGTTCGATTGTTGGACTGAAGGTGATTTTTATATATTTATTCACAAGAGCTTAACCCTTTCACTGCTTAGCCATGCAACTGTAATAGTCTCATTTAAAGCCTCCCCCCTTTTTTTTTTTCTAAGAGAAAAACTATGTGGAACTGTTGTCAGACATGATTAAAACCTACCAAATACACCTCATGAAATCAAAAATGAATTCTGCAGCTTGATTTATTTAGAAAGATTATTAGTATCATAGAGGGGACTTCTCAGACACTTCAAGAATTTTCAGGTCCTTTCCTGCTGCGCTCTTAAGCATGCTGTGTGAGCATGTGTTTCCCAGTTGTGCTGATCTGTATGTACTGTGAACTTGATGTTTTTAAAACTGGGGACATGACTTCCTCTGATGTCAATGGCCATCAGTGCACTGGAAGTCTGTGTACTTTAAACCATTATATAATATCTCTGAGACTGTGGCTTCTGGTATGTGTGTACAAAATACGCTTTCTGCAGTGTAGAGGAGTGTAACGTTAAAAAAACCAAAACCATGCCACCAGTCCCCTCACCCCCCCACCCTGAACATTTTAAAGCAATTTGAAAGAGGATGGTTACCATGATAGCATTGCAGCAGGAAAACTGAAAAAGTGGTCTATGAGAACTATAGGCTTTTTGGTTCACACCATTTAAAAAAGAAACTTCTGTTAACTTGATTATTTTGAATCATCTTCAACCTTCTGTTATGTGGAGACCAGCCCTGGACATTAGGTCTGAAAGGTGAGTGTTTGAAAAGATTGCAGGTGAGAATTGTTGTTTGCTCCTGCAGAGACATGAACAGGGCATGCTAAATTTTGCCTTTCACAGTGATGGTGTGTGTATGGGGAAGAAAGGATGAGCTCCTGCATTCTTTGAGGAATTGTTTTTCTTTCCCTCCCTGGAAGCGTTCAAGGCCAGGCTGGATGGGGCGGTGAGCAGCCTGGTCTAGTGGAAGGTGTCCCTGCCCATGGCAGGGGGTTGGGACTAAATGGTCCATAAGGTCCCTTCCAACCCAAACCGTGCTTTGATAAGCAAAGATAATGTTGTTCTGTGTCAGTACAGTTGGTTTAGGCAAAGCTGTCTTCCTCAGTCTTAATAAGAAGCCTTGATTGTATTAGAGCCAAGTTCCTACATTTCTTTTGTCAGTTTTCTTGTATAAGTGTTTCTTAATACCCTGACATTCTTTCTACTTAAGTGCCTTAAACGTGGCTATTTAGTCCAGAGCATCAGAGAAGTCTTACAGGGGGCAGGTTAAGCTGACAAAACACAGCCACCCCTTCTAAAGAGCATTGTTTTTTTTTTAAAGAAATTCTCTCTGAATCTGAACTTTATTTGCTGCATACAAAAATAAGTAATTTAGCAGGAAAAGTTATGTTTTATCAAAATAGGACCTACCATAGCTCACTATGTGCGAAGTATGTTTGTCTACATGAATGAATTCAGAATTGTAATAGGCCTTATTAGCATGGTTTATGCATTCATTACATGGCTTCTAACTTTCAATGCTTTTTTCCTAATTAAAACTGTGACTTTATTATTTAATTATATATATTTTCCAGTTTGTTCATCAGTGCAAACACAATATGGCACTAAAATAGATCTATTTACTTTAGTGTTGATTACAATTAATGCTTAGATAGTATTTATTTATTTAAAAACACGTATCTAGATAAACTATCCTAAGTTAAAGCTCATGTATTATTACTAAGTAAACTTTGCTTCAACTAGAGTTAATCTTAAAAAGACAGAAACAGAGGCCAGTTTGTTTAACAACATCAAAAGAGCCTTATGAGAAGGGTTGTTATTGTGGCATTTCAAAACAATTTTTATAATTTCCTGATTTTTGCTTAGTTCTAAATTTAATATTTGTAATTTTTTTTATTTTGATGTTTTTCGTGTACACAAATATGTTGTTTAAGGAATACCATGTGTTTGTACAAGCTGACATAATTCTGAATATTGAGTCAACTCGCAGTTCCTGCGAATAGGGAATACCAGGAATACAGACATACCAAGTCTGTCTGGTGTGTGTCAGCTTTAATAAGATACAGTTTTAGGAAGATCCTTCAATGCAATTACAAGGATATTAATCCTATTTACAAGTAAAAGCAGGAATTTCATTATTATGAGTATGTTATGCAATCAAAAATAGTCTCCCTTCGTTTGAGAATCTGAGAATTTTTACTTTGTGCTATTTACAGAAGCAAGACAGCTGCCTTAACAGATGTCAGGATTAGGACGATGAATGAAGTCATAAGTGGTATGAAGATAATAAAGATGTATGCTTGGGAAAAATCGTTTGCACAACTTGTGAATGTTTTAAGAAGGTAATTCTGAAAAGATACAGCTTGGTATATGATCTATATCTGTTTCCATTTTTTTACTTGTCAAGAAGTGCGTTATTTTGTGCTTAAAGTGCAGTTTACTTGAACTTCTTTGGCGTGTTTTTTTAAAATTTCTATAGCAAGTGTGAAGGAATGGAAATACATCCTAAGGGGACAGAAAAAGAAAAAAAAAAAAAGTTGATATTTGTAAATTCTGTGGTCTTCTATGCTTCCTTTTACGGTTGTGTTTAAAAACAGCAACTAATACACCATAGTAGTTCTAACTGAACAATTTCATCCTCGCAGTTCTGTAAACTAATAGGAAGGAACTAATAACCAGACATTTCCCTTGTGAGAAATATATGGAATCTGGCTTTCTGTCCTAAATGATAGCACCCTTGGGTAGTACTCTGCTTCCGTTTCTGCTTTTTGAAGTATTGCTCAGGCCATCTGGGAAGGGTGGTGGGGAGAAAGACAGCAGCTCAGAAATTCTGTAGTTGTTCAGCTGGCAAGACCCATCTGCGTTTGCTATCCTAAGACATTTCATTTCAGAGGTATGTCAGCATCTGATTAAAACTTACTAGTTTTTTCAGCTTTTCAGTCAATATTTTTACTTGACAGTTTAAGAGCATTCAGTGCTAAAGGATAACTGTAGGAGTTCAGGTGCATATTTCTGATTATTTAATTTTCAAGTTATATCTGTCTCCAGCATATGTGTAGTATGCTACTGTCCTGCTGTAGATTCTCCAATTTTTTTAGGTTGGTTTTTTTTTAGATTTGTTTTGTTTGGAATTCCTTTCTTTAAAAGGAACTTTTTTCCATGATATGTATGCGCAGGCTTGCTAACTTGCAAATATTCCTGAGACGTTTCTTCCCGTGCACATAATCTCTTCCTCCTTCAGACTGTAGGATCTTGTGCTGATTGAGTGTTCTTGATTGACTGAAAGCTTTGCTCTCTTGCGTGGTGCCAGAGAGGATATTTCTTCATTGAAAGCTTCCTCAGTGGGTGTATTCACATCACTAAACTTTAGATTTCCAAGTGCAACATCTCATTTGGATTAGAGGCTTCCTTTTTAATGATGGAGCAAAAGAAGCTCTTCCAAAACACATCCTGATCCCTCTTTCTTTTCTTTAACTGCACTGTGGAAAACTGTAGTTGAAAGTCTTAAATTCAGCCAGGTGATTTATTGCCCAGTGTTTCCACAGTGGCCATTGACAGTTTCTAAGATGACATCTGAACTCCTCCATTGCTCTTTTTTCCTGTGGCTGTCCGTATTAGTATCCTTTTATATAACTCCATGCCTTAAGACAGTGTAGTATATTATACAACCTGTGGGTAGGCTGTAATTTTATCTGATATTTATGGAGAGTAGCACAAAGAACTTGCTGATTATCCACAGATAATGAGAGGATTATTAAGAATGATTAGAGGGTGGGAAAAGTGTTTCGTCCAGAATTGTAGAAGTAATTGAATTAGACCCAACTCAAATAGTTTACATACAAATGTTCTTTCACTGTACTCTGGAGGAGATCAGAGATTGTAAGCCCTTAAGCTGAAAAAAAGGAGTCTGTGAAACTCTTTGAAAGTCTGTCAATTCAGCCAATTTGGCAAGTATAGTGGGAAAGCTGCTTAACTAGTTTTCCAGTAGCGCATCTTGCATTCTTCTCTCCATTAAGTGAGGACTTAATTTACTTCAAATTGTATAATTGTAGCTTGAGTTTCTAATCATAGTATATAGTTCCAAGTGGAAGGTAATCAAAACAATCAAGATTTTCCCTGAGAATTGACAGAATATTTGGGAAGAGAAATTAGGAATTGTTTCAGGATTTTTATATTCTGTATTATTTCAAGCAGATAAAATTAGATTATATGGGGAAGGAGTAAGTTGTTGTGGCTCCCTTGCTAAAGAATAACTATTATATTAAGAAGAAGTTAAGCCTGATGGCATCCACATTGTAGACAGTGCAGTTACATTTTGAGGATAGGACTTCATCAGTCATTTAGCAGTGGAAACTGAAATTTAGCTGAAGTGGAAACTGAGAACATACGCATCAGCAGCTTTTCAGTAGCTGGAGGGAGACTTACGCATCTGTGCAGTACTTCGGTCACTATTTAGCTAGGGTAATGACTGGAGGAACAATTGGCCTCACAGATCAGTGTTTTCTGAATTATGAAACAGAATTCCTAGAGCAAAAGAAGCCATAAGCAGGGTCCAAATTGGGAAGGATTTAGGCTGAGATCAAAGGAAATACTGCAAATCCCATGATCCCAGACTGAGGAGCAGCAGCTGAATAATGGCAGATACTTGGGCCATGGGTGAACTCTGTATCTTTTGGAAGTTGCCCTGTTTTTTCAACTGCAGAGTATGTGTTGATGCTATTAGGAGTTTTGTGACTGAACTTCACCAGAATTTGACATTGGAAGGATAAGGAGTTTGTGGGTGCTTGGCCTTTACACAGAGGTTTTTTCCTTTTTGCTTTTGTATGCAACCCAGAAATATTTGAAGCAGACTAGAATCTGAATTAAAAATCTAGCTTGACCAAAGCAGAAAAAAAAGAGTATTTTGGTTTTCTGTCCCTGAAAAATAATTATTTTCTATAGCCACTAAGATATTAAAGATAATAATTTTCCCCACTCAATTTCTAAACCTTTTAAAATCTCTTTTGTTATTTACCATATAATATACTTTCTTAGCAGTTCTTTATATATGAATTCGGGTAGTGCAAGGGGAGGAGAAAGTATATAAAAGAAAATCCTGCAAGTGGGTTTCCCTCATCCAATTGCTGAGAGCAACGGCAATGAGAGAGATTGATGTGATTGTTTATATTTTGCATTTTTAGGAAGGAGATTGCCATGGTTATGAAAAGCTCCTACCTTCGAGGACTGAACTTAGCCTCTTTCTTTGTGGCAAGCAAAATAACCGTGTTCATGACTTTCATGGCGTATGTCCTACTTGGCAATGTTATCTCTGCAAGTCGGGTGTTTGTTGCAGCGTCGCTGTATGGTGCAGTACGACTGACGGTAACTCTCTTCTTCCCTGCGGCTGTGGAGAGAGTATCCGAGGCAGTGGTTAGCATACGGCGAATCAAGGTATGGTCATTGGTTTGAATGGTACATGGATTTCTTCTCTTATTCTAATATTCTTTTAATGTCACTGACAAAAGCAGCCTTATTTCAGTTTTGCACAGTTTGGGATTTTTAATGAAATAACCTGTTTTGAAAACTGAATGTGTTGCTGTGTGACCATGTGCAAAAACATGAAATGCACTGTAGGGCAGGCTGGAATGTAGGAGAAAAGAGCACGTGCAAAGAGGTATTGTAGGCATTTTTGAAGTAAGAGGAACATGTGTGCAGATATGTTGCAATTGGGAGTTGGAGGACAAAGAAGGTTGGTGGGAGCTGTGAGGTTTATGTTCCATGTGCACTGCACCACCCTGTCCGCTGTGAAGGACGGGTGAGCCCTACCTGGTGTCTTGTGGCTGCTTTCAATACATGAGCCAGCAGTGTGCGCTGGTTGCCAAGAAGGCCAATGGGATCCTGTGGTGCATCAAGAGGAGTGTGGCCAGCAGGTCGAGGGAGGTTCTCCTTCCCCTCTACTCTGCCCTAGTGAGGCCCCATCTGGAGTACCATGTCCAGTTCTGCCCTCCCCAGTTCAAGAAAGATGAAGAGCTACAGGAGGGAGTCCAGCGGAGGGCTACAAGGATGGTGAGGGGACTGGAGCATCTCTCCTACGAGGAAAGGCTGAGGGAGCTGGGCTTGTTTAGCCTGAAGAAGGGAAGGCTGAGAGGGGACCTTATAAATGCTTGTAAGTATCTTAAGGGTGAGTGTCAGGAGGATGGGGCCAAGCTCTTTTCAGTGGTGCCCAGTGACAGGACAAGGGGCAACGGGCACAAACTGAAGCATAGGAAGTTCCGTCTGAACATGAGGAGGAACTTCTTCTCTCTGAGGGTGACGGAGCACTGGAACAGGCTGCCCAGGGAGGTTGATGTAGGTGAACCTGCTCCAGCAGGAGGGTTGGACTAGATGACCCACAGAGGTCCCTTCCAACCCTGAACATTCTGTGATTCTGTGACTCAAGTTTGGTCAGGATGAGCATCAGAAATGTTGCTGTTTTTTGGCAGAGAGACTGTATATTGTTTGGTTTGCTGTGCTTAGTGTGATGTGAATAAAATAGTCGTGTTTTCTTTACATACAGTACTTTAGCATAAACTACAAGAGCAAAAGATTTAAATGCAAATTGTGTTATGAATTTAAAACTTAAAAAATCCCAGATTGTCAGGTTATCCAAATATAGGATTAAAGCACACAAGCCATGTTAGAACTTCATTTTGTAAAAAAGTCGGGTTAATTTAGTCTAGAATGGGGAAAACAGAACTGCTTTACATGTAATGATATGGCTTTGCACAGTGTCACTTCCCATTTGTTGATGAAAGTAGCTTAAAATCTCCTATTTTATTTTCTTCTTTATGTGCTTGAGTATAATAAATCAAGTTTCTTTGTTGATAAATTTGCAAATTGTACTAAGCCCATAGATAAAGTATGTATTAAACAAGTAGTCTATGCATTTCAAAGAAGCATTTTGTCAAAGTTGATGCGAATGTGGTTAGAAAAGGTTAACGTGAAAATCACAACTACGGTAATATTGTAGGCAGTGGCATTTATTGTTCCTGCATAATTAAACTGTGGGAGGGGAGAGAAGTGCTTGGAATACTGGATGTTGCACTGTCTTTTCTCTACTCTCATATGCCCAGTGCTCAGCTCCAGGGCAGTGCTCTTTCAAAGGATCTTTCAAGCTGTGGAGGTTGAGACACATGGATGGCTGGAAAAGATGCCTTAGGAACAGGAGAATGGTACTTCAGCAGAGGCAGTGACGATCTATTCCTCTTTTTAGTCCTGTCTCCTATTCCAGCATATCCTGGTGGTCACAAGATTTTGCTTCTAACAGCTGGCACCAAATTCCCTGCACTTACAATTCCTTAAGGATGGTTTTTGGAAACCATCTCCAGAATTGAGGTTCTTTGGACACAGAGTTGTCGTAATGGATCTGTAGTATCCCTGATGCCATCACCAACTTTTAGCTTCCATTTCCAAAACTGCATGGTTTTTCAGGGTTGGAAGTTCTGCTACTGAGAGGAAATATACTGCCTGACCAAAGATGTGTTACTGAAATGTAAATAAGCGGGAAGGAATTAGGAGGAAAAGGGAGTACAGAAAAATACAGAAATGTGATTAAGATGATGGCTAGGTGTATTTGGGCAAAACTGAAAATAATATATTTTTTAAGGAAGTGCTTTCTCTTAGGTTTTGTAGAAAAAGTGAGGTTTCTGCACTCAAGAGTACACTCAGATGGAGAGCAGAAAGCAGGAGATACTATGCTTCAGGTGACAATGCAAAGCAACAGTCAGATAGGAAGTAGGAGCCTTCCCTCCATATTCATCTATACATATGTAGGAACTGTGTGGCAAAAAGTATATTGTGGTCTCCTTATTGTGTTTTTCACCTAAGCTCTTTTCCCCTCACCCTAGCTGCACATCTGAGAGCTGGTCTGCATCTCCTCTTGAAGCTCATCCACTCTTTTGTGATAAGCAGTAGGCTCAAGGTCCCCTCGTGAAACCAAGTGAGAGTGGTTGTTTTTCAGAGGGTTATTTTGGCAAACATGCAGAAAAGAGGATAAGTTTCAGCTGGGTATAAAAGATAGAGGTTTCTCTGTCAAGGACACGGTCATATTGTTTCTCAGCATCCTGTGGATGGCAGCAGCTTTATTTTTCCCTTCATAGAATATTATTATGTACGGAAAGAATGGAAGAATGTTTTAAGAGAAGTTAATGAGTTTCTAAGGCTTAAGTTATTTTACTGCATTTGAAGATTTAATTTCTAGTGTTGATTTTTTTTTTTCCTCTACCGTTTAAAATTCATGGTGTTAACTTTTTTTTTCATTTGTACTAGTTTTATTTGAAATCTTCCATATGTGATACAGTAGCATTTTTTAGTTAAACGGCTAGTTAGTATTTATACCTGGGATAAACGCTACTGCTAGAAGTGAAATTTCTGGTAAACGCAGAAACCACCAGAGACCGATTCCTTGCCTATAACTGCCCTGGTATTTCAGCTATCATCTAAATCCAGATCACACTTCTGAGGTCTTTTCTGAAGCCCCACACCCCAGTACTGATTTAGACTGCGTTCGGAGTTTCTTTCCCTGCCTACCACCCTCTTACCCTGTGTTCTCTTTTACGCATGTACCCGTTTGGGCCTGCCTATCTGTAACAGCGCTCAGCGGTGCTCACCTGGCCGGAGCGCTCAGCCGTGTGTGGCTTTGCACTCTGGCCTGTTGCTGGAGATGTGTGTGCCTGCACATGGAGTTTCCAGGCTGCGGCGTTAAAACGCTCCGGTTCTTACCGCGCTCTGGAACGATGCCCACTAGCTGGAGCTTGAGCAGTACCGCTGTGCCTGTTAACACCTAGCAGTATTCTTCCTGCCCTCCCCTGGCTCCTGGCATCCTCCTCCTGTTTCTTCTCAGTTACTGACTTCTGTAAGTCTTCAGCAGCTGTCTTGCATCTGTGAACTATTAGCTCAGTACCTCTTAACTAGTCCTGGCTGCCAAGATCAAGGCCTTCCTTCTTTTCATAAAATACTCTGCTGGAGGCCTTTTTAAGGTCTTTATGCTCTGTGATTCAGAGTGTGACAGAATTTTTCAGTGTTTTTGTCTTGAACTGGTGGTAACTGTTATCCTTGAAAATTTTCTGTAGAGGTTGCCCCTTTCTTTCCTAAATGCCTTTGAGCTATTTGTATTTTGGCATTGGGCAAGGTGTCCTAGCAGTGCAGCTGTGGTACAAAAGTGCACGTTTGTGCAGCTTGAAGTAAATGTTCTCTGACTGGGATATAGTGTAGAAGCACAGTAGTGAACCAGTTATGTGGGCATTGGCAAGGTGTTTTTTTTTTATTCCCTGGACTTTAAAAGGATAGTGTTCTGCAGCATTTTTGTCACTGGAAGAGAGCTTATTGGGAACAGTGGACAGCTTCTTACCCTGCCCTCATTGTTTTTCTGAGCAAGACTGAAATAAAATAAGCCTTCACCATCAGTGGAATGATAAGGTGTTGCAGTGAGGGTTTCGCCTCTTCTGCGTGGGAAGGGGCAATCAAACAGTTATAGTGGATGTCAGTGTTTCCAGGGAAAAACAGGGCTGGTTCTTAAGATCTGTTTGCTTCAGGAATTCTCTTTTATTGAGCAGGTTGTTTCAGGAGTCCCATAGTACTTTCATGCTAAAAAGTCTGCACTTCTGGGATTATTTTTGGAGGGGACTGCTAGCCAGTTAGAGGTATGCTGCTGAAGGAGTTGTGCATTGCTTTGGAAATGTAATGCCTTGATCAGTTTGTGGTTGTTTTTTTTCTCCCCATAATTAATGTTCTGTATGCTGTTTGCAAAAGTATGAGCTTGGGTTCCTTTCCCATTCCCTGTCTCACTTCAGGCAAAATCCTGTGCTTTTTTTTTATTGCAGAACTTTCTGATACTTGATGAGGTCTCGCACTTCAAGCCACAACTGCATGGTAATAATGAGAATATCAGTCTTCATGTTCAGGATTTGACTTGCTATTGGGATAAGGTAAATTTACTTCTGCTAAATGTAAAGTGTATTGGTGCTGCAGGCATTTGAAGTCTAAAAAGCAGTATATCTGTGTATAGTGTGCTGATGTTTTGTATTCTGTCTTTTGTGTATGAGAATGCTTTTAGTATGTTAAGCTAACTCTATAGAATAGTACTGAAAACAGTATCAAGTGCATCTTAAAAGCAGCTGTTCCTGAATATTATACTATATGAAAATCTATGCATTTCTGTGTGAAAATACCTTGTTATTAAACAGCACTGTACTGTTGCTGAGATACTGTGCTGTCTGCTCTTAATTCCAATTTAAGTAAGACAGGCCTTAGTGAATGGTTTTTTTTCTGCGAACTGAATGCTGATCAGTCCATTAGTCTAGAACCAGTACAATATTATACTTCTTATAATAGATTTGAAAGCTTTAGAGACTACTCTGTACGTATTTGTTACTCTGTGTATTTTAATTGAGACTGTTCAGCTACAAATTGTTCTCTGCTTAAAAAATCACCAAAATTACTAGCAAAAAAGGACAATACACAGGTGATAAATCTGTTATATATCCTTTTCTGTAAGAAAGGCAAAGATTGACTGTGGTTTCTGTTTTAAAACTGCAATTGCTATGCTAAGCAATTTGTGATGAATTGTTGGAGCTATGAGGAGCTGCCAGTATCCTTGCACAAGAGAAGCTTCAGTCTCCATAAGAAATGCTGGAAGCTCTAAAAATGAGTTTTGCATATAAATGTAATGGAAATAAGACACGTCACGTATTTCCCTTTGTATACCCTCTTCTCCTGCATGTACTGTGTCACAAGGAAGATACAGTGTGAAAATGGGTATGAGGATCTACCTACTACTACTCAGCTACAAAAGAAAATTGCTACATTATTGTGCTTTATTTTCTCAGAGTTGCATCTGTGACATGAATTCTTTCTGACACATTGAACAGACTTTTAATTGATCTGAAAAACTTAATGGTGAATACATTCTAATGCAAAATGAAATGTATTTCTTAGTCTTTATTTTCTTCCCAAACCAGAATCGGTACCACTGTTAACAATTTGTAGGAAATGGTTGCAAAGTGTGCCCATAAAACACCTTAATTTTTTTTAATGAGTTGTTTATATTGCATAAGGCAGGGCAGCATGAGTGGAATTACTGGTTTCCTTTTGATTTTAAAAAACCCCAAGCCAACAAACCACTCACAAAACTGTTAATGTAATTTTCATTTTCATATTTAATTGCAGTATGCGTGGGAGAATAGTTCTCCCAGAACTATCAAGAGCAGCTCAGAAAGTTTCTCTTGCATACTCTTACAGTGATGCAAAATAACTTTACAGAGTTGCTCACTGAAAAGATGAGTTCTGAGAGAGCGGAGTTATAAAAGGAATAATAAAGATTTCCTATCCTTTGTCAAGTAACCAACTTAGCTTGCTACCCTGAGTAGGTGTCTCATGACTTTTTGTATCTCTGTATAGGCAGTGTACAGCTGGATGATGATTTTTTATTTTTAAAGATTACGAGCCAAAAGAGATACTAAAAGAAAAGCAACAACCCACAAATCCAAAATCACTGGAAGTGAAAAAGGGATTATTAGTTATACTTTTAGGAAAACAACCTAACATGGTGTGTTACAGTTTATCAAAAGATAAACAAAACCAATTAATTCATGGTCGCACTCTTGTTTTGCTCAGGCAAGTATTATCTGAGTTCCACAGGCTAGGCTGATACCACCAGCATGGAACTAGGGATTTTTCAGTACGAGTTTTTGCTGGTGTGTCTTGAGTTTACTGAACAGTCTGTCTGCTCAAATGAGCAACTTTAGATTTAAAATTTGAGGGTTTGAACAGAGGCCAAATTTATCCCTTGTAATTTTAGTCACTTAAATGAGGAGTCTCAGCAGTATAACACTTCAGTGGAATATATGATCTCTGCATCTCTTAGGTGGGGTGAATTGCTTCTTTCTCTTGACTGTAGGACACGTAAGGCCTGCCCAAGCTCACCTAAAGAGTCGCTGCCCCTGAAGGGATCATGCTTGTGTCCTGTCCTCGCGCCCTGCCTGTCTGTTCCCTCCCTTGTGCTGGTGTTAATGCTTGTGTGTGCAGCCCTGTGGTGAACGAGTTCGGAGGGATAAAGCAGTAAAAAATGAGTCACTTCTAATGTGGTTTGTTTTCTGATAGCTGAGTCCCGTGAGCAGCCCGTCTGCAACGTTAGGCAAGAACACGCAGCAGCAGGAGGGTGGTGAAAGACATGGGTAGGTGGTGAAAGACAGGGCACAGGGTTGCTGGGGCATTGGTGGAAATGAGCCGTCAGATGAAATGAGCTGTGATACTAGTCTGCTCTAATTTATGTGCCTCAAAATAGGTGTGACTAAAGACAATTTGTCCTGAATTTATTATAAGGCATGCTATTTTGTGAAAATACCGTGCCCCTTAGGTGTTTGTGGCCATGCTGTTTGCTTGCATTACTGCTTTCGTATAGGGTCTATGATATCTTACAATACCGCATGAACTTATGATAGTTGGGTAATAGTTTAAAAACTTTTGTTTTAAATTTTCTGTAATGATTTGAGTCTCTGATGTTACAGTTTTTTGAAAACCTTAGTGTGGGTGGGAGTATCTTTGCACTGTTGCCAATACAGAAGCACAACCTCAAGAGGTCTGAAGAAGGGCCTGTGTGTCTGAAAGCTTATTTACTTTTTCCATATAGACTAAGTGATTTAATAGCAGGTATTTTCTCTTCCTACGACCTTTGCGTTAAATAATAATTAAAAAAAAAAGCCTTGGCTGCCAGAATTTGGTAGAGCTGCCCTGACCTTAGCACTAGCTGAGCAGGTGAACGATGTACTCTGGACCAAGAAATCGAATTCGTGGTAAAATGCTGACTGGGAGGGGGTAGAGAGAAGGAAAAAAGCCCCGTTGATGCCACCTTGTGGAAATGAATAATAGCAACAGAAGTAGTTTTGCAGCGTTGCACACAAGATGCACAAGTTCGGGTTCTCCCAGCGCGACTGATTTCATGTGTCTGCGAGGTGGGAGCTGTGGTGGGGGACGCGCAGCCGTGAGCTCTGGTTTGGCTGCCGCCGAACCGAGCCTTGCTCCTGGCACTGGTGAAAACGTGTGTGCCAACCTAGATCTCCTCACCATCGTGCCTGTGCGTGGATACCGTACTGTGTCTCTCCCATACAAGTTGAAACGAGTTGCAGGCTTCCCCTCTTCACGGTCCCAGAACTGGGCCATGTGGCATCTTCCATGCAGGTTTAGGTGGCCAGGTCAGCCCTTTCAGCTTCAAACAGGGGCTGGAGATCTTAAGCAGGCTGCAAGTTGTTAGGAGGTACACTAGATATTCTGCACCTTGCTCTTCTTTCTTGAAGCTTAAGGCTAGGGGTTTTTTTTGGTCCTTTAACAGAAATACTGCTTCTTTTTTTCTTGTTGATGGTTTTTGGGTTTTTTTGTTGTTTTTTTTTTAAATGCATGTATTTTCCTATTTGCATTTTAGTGTCAGTCATGCTTAGTGCGGTCTAAGATGCATGTAAAGGCAGATCTTGTTACGAGGGTGTTTTGCTGTAATGAGGGGGAGCTGCAGCAGGCCCTTAGGAATTGCAGTTTCGCATAGCTATTAAAGACGTGAGCACCCTTTCATGAGAAATAGGCATTTTTACAGCCTTGATAGGAGAAGTGCAAAATGTGTTGGGAAATAAGCTCTTATCAGTAGAGTAACATAAAGGATAGGCATACTAAAAAGGAATATTAAACAAACAATCCTAGGGTAGTGTATTTTCACACAACTAGCCCACTGTGTAGTCTGTGAGACGTCTCTGAGAATCCATGATATACAAGATGAATTTGTGTAAAATCAAATGACGTTTTTCTGTATTCGCTTTGGATAGAGCCTTGACTAGAGCAAAAACAGACCTGGCTTTTCTGAGAGCGCCTCAGCCCTCCCTTTCTCCAGCATTTGTCCAGCTCCTCGGCATTGCCGGGTGTGCTGTGCCGGGGCTGCGGATGTCGGTGCGACAGCCAGCGAGAGGTCCAGTTTCCGAGACTGCCGCCCCAGCCTTGCGCTGAGCTGCAGTGAGGATGCGTGGGCTTTGGGGAGGCATTGCTTCTGCTGCCTTTGGGCTCCTTATTCCCTGAACGCTGGTTTGTCTGTAATATGTTTGTGCTGAAAGATCGGGGTCTTTCAGAAGTGTTTGTGAATTACTGAAGAGGCAAACTATGTCTGAAAATATGGTGGGCATAAGGGCTGTTAATTTTCAGTGTTTATATGCATTGTTTTCTGTTTCTAAAGAGTTGTTTTGAAGGTGTGTATTTCATTACTGAGGAAGCCCAATTTTTTCTCAAATCCATAGAGTTTAGAAAGCCCAGCACTTCAACAACTTTCATTTACTGTCAGACGAGGGGAATTACTGGCTGTGATTGGTCCTGTAGGAGCTGGAAAAGTAAGTCTTAATGTTTACTCCATTCTGTAGAGTTTTTATGAGCCTGTTAAACAGGACTAGAGACTTCAAAATGTATGGTTCCTTTCTATGTATGATACACTTCACATCAAGATGCTGGTATTCAAGAAAGGCAAATATCCTTCTGGGGGTGGAGAGGAGGTGGTTCGGTGTTAAACAGTACTTTGTACGTTGCTTCTGGACTGCATCTAAAGAATTCTAGTGCTCTTCTACTGTTAGCAAGTAGTTTGAGTGACAAGGTGAAACAGGCCATCGTGCCAGTATACACTGCTCAATCTCTGTGATGTCTTTAATGCAATCAAACTTTTCAATTTTTACTTTTCTTTTTTTAATCTTTTCCAGTCTTCGCTCTTAAGTGCTGTGCTTGGTGAGCTGCCTAAAGACAAAGGTTTGATAAATGTTACTGGAAGAATTGCCTATGTTTCTCAGCAGCCTTGGGTGTTTTCTGGTACAGTAAGAAGTAATATACTGTTTGACAAAAAATATGAGAAGGAAAAATACGAAAAAGTTCTAAAAGTCTGTGCTCTGAAAAAGGTATGGTTTTGTCTTCGTATGTTTTATTTTCACTGTCTTTGTTTTTATCTTAGTGTTTTTTCAGAGTTGTGGTACATGCCACAGTATATAATATATAGAATTGATTATTATCATGTGAAATAATCCTATCACTTAACAGAAATACAAGTAACTATTTTTGACATCCCTGAGTAAGCACATTCTTGTAATTCCTAAAACTTTCACTAGAGGGAGGCACAGCTTATGTGAAGCACAGACAAATTTGGAAACAGCTATTCCCAATTATTTAATTTCATAAGCATGTTTAGCCTATTTCACTGGTATTATGGTAGGGGTGTGTGTAAATACAATAAAAGGTGGAAAACAAATGATCAAGTTAGCAATATCTGCAGTTTCCATTTTAGAAATATCCTTTGTGCTTTTTTTAAAAATAAATGTCGTGGATATCATGTATTATGCATTGCTGACAGCTATCAAAAGAACCTTAGTGCCATATATTGGAGAACTTGCTGAGCCCAAGTAGTTTTATGAAAAAATATTTTTGAAAGGTCTGTGCGCAAAGGAGTTTGTGACATGAGATATAGAAGAGGATTAAGCCAGATTTGTCAAGAAACGGACATTTTGCTTGGCAGCTAAACAGATTTTATGCAGCATGTTATGATATTCCTGTCAGCAAAGACACAGGTGAAAAGCAGATGGTTACTGTGATGAAAATTTTTTTTTGCAAGGTTTTTGGACATGGTAGATAGAGTTTTAATATCTCCTGCTGATATTCAGTCATATGCAGTTGTCTAAATGTAAGGTTTTAGTGACTTTAAAAGGCAGCAAACTGCATTTGGAAAAAACCCCCACTTCATATTTGATGATAGATTTGCTTTCATATTTCTTTTCAAATGTATGTATCTGACAAAAACTGTGAATAAACTTTCAGAATGTGTTTTGTAGCTTAATATAAAACATGTGTATTTCCTGAATAGGAAATAGTGTTCTACATCATATTATTGCATCATTTTGTTCTCTGACTTGTAGTCCCAAGCCCCATAAATTAACCAAATTTGTGTGGTGAATGTTATGATTATTTCTCTTGGGTACGCTGCAGTAAGAATAAAACTAATGCAGTTCCTGGGGACAATGGGAAATGGAAGATAATGTACTGATAATAGTTCAGTTTTATTTACTGTGACAGCTCGTTTTGTTCTAGTAAAAAATAATTAACTTACTGTTATGCTTCATAATTCTTAGTTTGATTTTCTGAATCACCAGCAAATATTCCATGTAACACTAAGACTAGTAGTGCACTTCCCTCTGGCAAAGCTGTAGAAAAAGTGAACTTTAAGATCTCACCTATTTTTCCTGCTTTCTTAATTATCTTTTGCTGAAGGTACAAAGTCATAGAGTAATTGCAGATATTTCATTTAGTATGAATCCTTGTATTTTAATGTGAGATAAGTTAATACTTTTCAAACAAGAAAACGTTACGTTGAAGCGGCTTTGTCAGTCTTTGAAATTAAAATGGTTAAAAAAACCCCAAATAAATCTTGCTATCTGTTCTTTCACATTCACAGGACTTGGAATTATTAGAAAATGGTGACCTAACAGTAATAGGAGATCGTGGAGCTACACTGAGTGGGGGACAGAAAGCCCGTGTAAATCTCGCCAGGCTAGTGATTTTGCTGTTTCTAAAATTTACAACTTGTCAGGCTTCAGTGACTAAAGTAAACAAGCTTAAGACTTTGTGATACTGACTTTTCTTTAAACATTGTAGGGCTGTATATCAAGATGCAGACATCTATCTTTTGGATGATCCACTGAGTGCAGTAGATGCTGAAGTTGGAAGACATTTGTTTGAAAAGTATGTTATCGCTTTATTTTCAATTAAAATAGAATTCTTATCTTCTGATTCCATGTAGAAAAACTTGAGAAGGCATTTTTGGGGAGATGGATCTCTTCACAAAACTTAACACATTCACTTTCTGCATTTGTTTTTCCTCCATTTTATGTGTTTGGAAGGCGTAGTTTTTTTCCTGTATGTCTCTGTCATTTTGTTCTTTATTTATAAAAGTCTGTAAAAGTCTGTTTTGAAGATACGATGATTACAATTATTCTTAAGGGAATATATGCCATTTTCTTGAGGAAAACATCAGATTTCATACATGAGTATTGGGTTTTATGAATATTGGGACTAAGTTGAAGAATAATGTGGGGTGGAATTTTAAATCAGTTCTTAGTTTGCTGGAGTAGTTTAGTTTGCGTAGTAATAAGCACTTAATTCAGGTGGCTAAAGGAAAGGACAGAACTCTCTTAGATTCTCGAGTGATTTTTCACTTTGGTTCTTGAATAGTTGAAATTTCTCTGATGTGGGTGGAGCAGGGAACCGTGGTCTGCAAAGTAGACTGTGGAGAGTGGAAATAGAGGAAAGGAGAATGTATAAGCTTACCATGAAAGACAGAGTTATTGAAATTTCCCTCATTTCTGAAGAAATAGGACAGTGTTCATTAAAAGTCAGGTTCCCTTCTCAATAAATTTCCTCTTCTCCATCTCTCTCTTCTTTCACGCTGCCTAATCTACAGCACATAGTGAGTATGAGAATAATCCAGTTATTCCCAGCTAGTGTTTTGTCCTTGGTTCTTCATAGCCTGTTCCTCTCACTATCAAAAGGTATGATCTAGAATTTGTTAGAAATACAAGGAGAAACTTACATTGACTGAATTCAGTGGGCTTTGGTTGAAGCCTTAAATAAGAGCATTTTCTTGGGCATACTTACGTCCTTTGAATTTCGTGTTCCAAATACATGAATTGATTTGGTTTTACTGTTGTTCCGTCCTCTCCACCCCTACACAATCATGAAGACTTGTCTTGCAGAAATGATCATAGAATTTGCATTGACTACCATTACATGCGTGTTCTTTTTCCCCATGTGGTGAAGCTTTTAGTATCTAAATTTGAGAATTGTACATCCTGTTGATGTTTGCAGTTTCAAATCTGGAGATGCCTCTGAAACCCCATCAGCATTTTGGTTTATTTTATTAATTTCTTCAAACGGCTACTATTTGTTTCCATCAACCGGTATGGAGTTAAGAATTTTGTGATGCATAGGCTTTGTGTTCATTATTCTGTGCAGGATCATTTTCACCTGCCATGACTGATGAATGGAGATCATTACTTCTGTAGTTCACATCCTCTACCATATTCCTTTAATGCCTGTTCAAGCTATCTAGGTGTTAGCTGCTGCTTTTCTGTTTCCGCACAAGATCGCTCCACGACTCCAGCACCTGAGTGTATCAGTGCCTGAGTTCTGAAAATGCACCCACCTGAGCTGTCAGCCTGTCTCTCCCTTAAGTTTTTTTCACAAAGGGGAAAACGGGAAAGTACAGTAGTGCTTTGCAAAAGAGGTCGGGTTGCCTCTTCAATTTATTCTGTGTTTTATGTGAGCTGTGACATTGGGAACGTCTGCATCTTGCTGCAAAACTGTCAGTCTGAATTTTTGTATGTTCAAAGCCATAAAGGAGCCAGAGACCATTGCTCTGCGAGCACAGTGTATGCTTAGCTGATAAACCTATGGAGGTAAGGAGGAATAAGGAGATTATCTCAGAGAGTCTGGAACGCAGAAAACTAGCTGGGATTGTCTACTTTCATTTACTCTTCCTCCCCAACTCTAGATCAGCTTGAATGAAACAGATAAAGGTAGAATGACAGCATTTTGTGGCGAAAATGGACTGGGTGGAGTGGTAGTGGCAAGGAAAACTGAGCAATGCCTCCCTGATCAAGATCTTAAGGGAGGGCTTTTGTACAAACAGAAGTTGTCTTCTGGGGCCTTCATGGCAGCTGTAAAAGGTGCTGGGGGTAGTGGGGAGAGTGTTACTTACAGTAGCTCGCCTTGAATAACAAGGCAGGGCATGTCATTTAATGCTTCCTGAATAGAGCTAGGAATGTGAAGAAGAGAGCGAGCACTTGGGTGAGAATGTTTTCTTAGAACATGGTGCTGAGGAATGTCGAAGAGACCACTTCCTACAGGCTGCCCCCAGGAGTCCAAACCGCGAGGCATGAAACAATGGACAAGATGGAAGAAACAGGGTTATTAAATGAGAATCTGAAATGGATATTGTTCAGTTCACTCGCACTTCCCCCCTGCCTTGTAATTTTATGTTAATGTTTAATTTTTTTAGAAGTGTCAAGTGTTGTATGTGTTGACGTCGAAAGATAGGTATGTTCCTAGTAATTCCCCAGAGCTCTGATCTGTGGATGGCTGGTTCATTACGTTTGCAGCTTCTCCTCGTTCTTTTCAACTACTGCAGTAGAGAGTTTAAAATATATAAATACTTTTCAAAGGAGAAAGAATGTGAGTAGCACAGCTCCAGTGGGAAAACAGTCCATGATATTCTTAAGAGACCTAATCCCTTATTAATAATTTCTCCATCGTACAGACAAGTTGTTCCGTGGATGGTGGAGCAGATAAAGCCAGTTTTTCAATGATTTTTCTCTCTCCTGGTCAGATTCTTTGGGGCCTGGTAAGGTATAACTGGAGATTCCTTGTTTTTATGTTATTTGTAGCCTCTTCCTGTGAGTTCTCGTCATAGTTAGAGTTAGCAGTAGGCATGCTTTAGCCTTTTCCCAGTGAGAGGGCGTCAGTATAGTTCTGTGTTTTTGTGTGTATTTGTGTGTGTATGAAAAATATGCATATATATTTTTGTGTGTATATATATATATAAATAAAAATAGCCTTTCATTAACTTAAGGAGTGTGATATTTGGAGATCTGTAGTTTTGAAATGAGGGATGCCCATACAGATGTAGTAGCACATTTCCTTGTATGATGAAGCTTGGAATGACCTGTGATATTCTAAGAAAATCATTGTTGTGCTTGGATCCCAAGAAATCCCCTGTTCTCCCTGTGCATCTTTGTAAACATATTTCTATAGATTGTATGGTTTTAGATCACCTTTAGATAGAAATCAAATTGTGTCGCATCAGTGATACTGACTCAAAAATGGTGTTTTTAAGAGTGAGATTTATGTTCCATTAGTCTGTCGAGATGAATGGTTTTATCTAGGCATTGTTCTTCTGTTGTATCTTATGCAGTGGCAGGAGCTGTGCGCTAGTCTAAGCTGATGATCAGCCTGGTTTCTTTCAGTTCCTTCTCTGTGCTTGTGAGAATAGACAGAGTTGCAGGACAGTTTGGGAATCTTTCAAGATGAGACCGGAAGTTGTGGTGATGCTTTGGAGTGGAATGCACGGGTGTATCATTCCTATTATCAAACAGAATTCTGCAAATGTCTTTTTTTAGCAGGAAGCTGTTTTGAATGTGTGGTCATTTGTCTTTTCTCTCTGTTTTGCCTCTGCAGCTAGATAAAAGCTGCAGAAGAAATCATTACATTTATCACAGTACTGACTATGAAGCAATGAGCCTTAGCATCCATTCAGATGGAGCACCATGGTACCAGGCGATGGCCTCCCGTAGGAACTCAAGGGACATGTAGCTGGGCAGTGGGTCACGGGATAACCATGTGTTGAGGCTGACTTGGAGAGTCACCTGGCAAGTTGACTGGGTGTCGTCAAAGATAAAGTCTCCACTGCCATCTGAGGTAACTGAGCATCCCTCTGCAAGAGAGGGAAGGGAGCAGGCGTGGTTTTGTAGCAAAGGTGTCCGTCATAATTGCAGAAAAAGGTGAGGAAGAATTGAACAGACAGCAAAGGGGAGTGGGAAATTCCATCATGTGAAGCACATGGATTAGGAGAGCCTGAATTCCGTAGTGCATTCTTACCTAAGCCCCTGAAGTGTTTGAGGGGAGGAGCAAAATGAAGTAAGGAAAATGAGTAAAAGGATTTTTTGTTTTTAATTAAATACACAGATCTGAATATTTACTTCATTGAAAGTAATTTGATTTTTGGAACTTTTACAAGTCCATGAATGCTTTCGGTCTTGTATCTCTCAAAGTGGACTATGACTGTAGATCTGTAATGTTGGAGCTTTGAAGAAAAAGTACTATTATAGTGGTGTAGACAATTAAAAGCAAGTGGAGCTCATAAGTGCTGTAAAACTAGCAGATAACAGGTAGAAGGTCTTGTTTCTGTAGAGGGATTACAGACACAATCAGTGTGTCAGAGGAACGATGCAACAAGTCAGTGTTGTGTTTAAAGGCATATACATATTACATTGGATTAGATACTAGGAAAAAATTCTTTACTGAAAGAGTGATCAAGCATTGGAACAGGCTGCCCGGGGAAGCAGTGGAGTCACCATCCCTGGAGGTGTTAAAAACACGTGTGGATGTGGCACTTCAGGACATGGTTTAGCAGGCAAGGTGGTGTTGGGTTGATGGTTGGACTTGACGATCTTGGAGGTCTTTTCCAACCTTAATGATTCTATGATTCTATACGTGCTTTGTCCACTGATGATAAGCGTACAGAGGAGCTGGTGTGTAAATTTAAGGATTTCACTCTGCTCCCTTTCAGGTAGGATCTCTTTAAGTCAAGGATGTCTCTAAGGCCTCCCACATTGTGTTTCACACCTGATCCATGCTCACTATGTCTCAGATACCACTGCAGTGGTTACAGCGCTAAAGAGAAGTACTGGGCAAACTTGAATGCCGTATACCTCTTCTTTTATATTACAGCTATTGCTCTTAAAAACATACTAGCTATACGTTTACATTTAGATGACACCATTGGAATTCCTTGAGCTTCGTTGTGTTTATTGTAGGGAATATGTTTAAAAGGTATGAATATGTTGCTTGGGGTTTTGGGGTTGGTTGTTTTTTTTTTCCCCCCCCAAAAAGTGAAAAGCATAAGTGAGATCACTGTATGTTGTGGGTTTTCAAAAAACTAAAATTTTATGTTTGTCTTGCAGAAATAT